AAATCTGGATTATTTGAATTAGTTACCAAAATCTATGCACTGTATTTAATTGATACATCTCTTGAGTCTCTTTTCATGTATACATCTCCTTTTCTCCTTTTGGGTATGTGTATGCGTGCGTGTATTGTTGAAGAAATCAGGTTGTGTAGAAGTTTTGATATTCTGGTCATTTAACATTTTTCTCTGTCTCTTATACTTCTAGTAAACTGGTAGTTAGATCAAGAGGCTTAATGAAGTTTGTGACATTTGCAAGAATGCTCCAAATATAGAATTTTTTGTTTCTTTTTGAGAGACAGGGCCTCACCCTGTCATCCACACTGGAGTACAGTGACATGATCATAGCTCACAGTAACCTCAAACTCCTGGTCTCAAGTGATTCTCCCACCTCAAGTAGCTGGGACTACAGGTGCATACCACAATGCCTGGTTAATTTCTAAATTTTTTGTAGTGATGGGGTCTTGCTGTGTTTCCCAGGCTGGTTTTAAATTCCTTGCCTTTAGTGGTCCTCCCACCTAGGCCTCTCAAAGTGCTAAGATTACAGGCATGAGCCACTGTGCCTGGCCAAAGATAGTATTTTAAATTTCCTATAGTGTGACATCAGTAGGCAAATAATGTTTGCTTGTCTTGCCTTTTTGTGATGTTAAGATTGATCAGTGGCTTCAGGTTGTATTACTCTAAAGTATCTATTGTTAAAGTTCCCCATCAACCTTCCATCTAATGGATCATCCATTGATGGTCGTTGGGTTGATCTGTTACTTTGTTAAGCATTTTGAAATGGTGATATTCTAACTCTATCTTTTTGCATTAATTAGCTTGAAATTTCTATAAAGAACTTTATCTTAACTAGCTATTTAATTTCCTAAATGACTATTTGGTTATAAGGAAAGATGGAATAAATGCTTGACTTTTTTCCGTTATCATCAGATATTTAGAATCATGGTTCTCTAGACTCCTCTAAAGGTGACCTGTGCGTTTTTGGCTTTAATTTTTTTAGTATCATTAAGAATGGATGGATTTAAGTATATTTGATGTATTTAACGCCACTGAAGTTTATTCTATTTGGTGCCCACATTGTCCCATCTTTGGCCAATGGGAAGACATTTAAATTGACTTTAGAGATCTTCTCGTATGATCCCAGGAGTCTTTTGAATTTCCAGAACTCTCATACATTGTATGCTCCAGACCTGGAATCAGCTCTTTTTCCAAGGATTGGTAATATTTTTAAGTTCTCAGATAAACCCATTAAGTAACTTAATTAAAAGATGCTTGTTGGAAATCTGGTCTTAAGGTCATTGGCCTTTTCACTATCTAGTGCTGCCTCTATAGATTGAAACACACAGTACTAGTCTTCTTCTCAACTGTGCTGTTCCCCCTTCTATCTTTTGTAGAGTATTTTTTTCCCAGCACAGGTTGATAGCTGCCAGATTCACCATCCCAGCATCCTGTGTTGCTTGGGGTTAGCCCTGTGTGGTGATTTGGACAATGAAATACAAGGGACAGACACTAGGAACTTATTTAGAATTGATTTGTAATTTTACCTTAAAAAAGGGGGTCTTGCTTTTGAAATTTATTTATTTTTTTAATTAATTAATTTTTTTTGAGGGGGAGTCTTGCTGTGTCGCCCAGGCTGGAGTGCTGGGGAGTACAGTGGCATGATCTGGGCTCACTGCAAGCTCCGCCTCCCAGGTTCACACCATTCTCCTGCCTCAGCCTCCCGAGTAGCTGGTACCACAGGTGCCTGCTGCTACGCCCGGCTAAATTTTTGTATTTTTTAGTAGAGACGGGGTTTCACTGGGTTAGCCAGGATGGTCTCGATCTCCTGATCTCGTGATCTGCCCGCCTCAGCCTTCCAGACTGCTGGGATTACAGGTGTCAGCCTCTGCGCCCAGCCTGAAATTTATTTTTCAACATTATATTTAGTTAAAAAAACTGTTTAGGGATGGGTGTGGTTGCTCATGCCTGTAATCCCAGCATGTTAGGAGGCCAAGGTGGGAGGATTGCTTGAGTTCAGTAGTTTAAGACCAGCCTGGGCAACATAGTGAGACCCCCACCTCTATAAAAAATGAAAAATTAATGAGCTGTGGTGGTACATACCTGTAGTCCCAGGTGCTTGGAAAGGTTGAGGTGGAAGGATCACTTGAGCCCCAGGAGTTCAGGGTTACAGTGAGCTATGATTGCATCACTACACTCCAGCCTGGGTGACAGAGTGAGATCCTGTCTCAAAACAAAAAAACAACAAAAAAGAACTGTTCAGGACAGCTCTTCATTTTCCATACACATAGAAGGTGCAAGTGGTCTGGATGAGTAAAAACAATGGAGAGTTTATAAATCATCTGTTTCTTTTTGGAGTTTCCTAAATGTTCTTTAGCAGATACAGATTTATCTTCCTAATTATGTTTAGTTCTGGGTATTATCTAATACTTATAATAGCTAATAATAGTGTTTACTTTGTATCAGGAAGTGGTCTAAACGTTTTTATGTATTAACTCACTCAATCCTCACAAAGATCCTATGAAGTAGCTATTATTATTATTCTAAAATTACACAGGGAAGCTGAGTAAAGAGAGTTTGTGTGCTCGTCTAAAATCACACAGTCACACAGCTAGTATGTGGGAGAGCCAGGATTCTAACCCAGGTGCTCTGGTTCCAACTATATTAAAATTGGCTTTCATTTTCAGAGTACTAATTTATTAACAGTAGGTGGTGGTGGGCTAGAAATGTATTTAGAAGTGGATTTAAAATATATGTGTTCTTCATTAGCGTATTTTGTAGCTTCTGTTTACAATTAGTATATTCATATTACCACAGTTAGATATAGGACCTTTTTTTCGATGTGTAAAATTGCAGGCAACCCAACGATATATTGATTTGATTTGCCGTATTAAAACTCTTACATAAGAAATAAAACCCAGTGGCATCATGAATGAGACAATTCACATAATTCTTGCAATGCAGATAAAAATGCTACAAACTATTTCTTAGTAATAAAATCTATAAAGTTCTGGTAAGCTTGCATGTGTAAAAGAAGCTAATAATAATTTATATTTTAAATGTGTATCCTCTAACCGTGAAGAGCTATCATTAACCACATTAATCATTAGACATATCGTTGAGAGATATAGTGATGAAATAGATGCACAAACGCACCAGATAATTTTGCCTTAATTCATGATATGGTCAGATATATTGCCCAGGCCACCTTGCTCTTGGTTTACCCCATTTTTAGGTCTTACAAATATATGTTGTAGAAAGAAAACACATCTATTCCTACACATCCTTAGCTTTTTAATTTTAAACATGCTGTACTATTTTTCTTAGAAATTAGCATTAAAATACTCTTTGAGACATTAACTTAAAATTGTTTACTATTAATACCTCAAAGATAAACAGAATAAGAACAATTATTTTTGCTCAGTGGTTTTATATGTAATATTAACTAGTTGTGCAGAACTTCAGTAGAGAAGCAGTTTGATACAGTAGCAAAGTTTTTCTGCTTTTCTGTTTTAGCATGCGTAAAATAAGGAATTTAGTTAAAGCAGAGTTGCATATGCACATAGGCATTGGGCTGTGGGTTGAGCCCAGACTTCTTTTCACAATCCTTCTTAAGGGGTTGTGTGCAGGTGGTTACTGTGGTCTATTAGAGTTGATCCCAAAGATAAAACCAACCGAATAGGATTGAATGTAAGGTAAAGTGGTTCTTCCCTTCCTTTTTCAAAATAACACCTCAGAAAATATATTTGAATTTTCACAAAGTCTCTGTGAGGTACTCTATTTTGTTTTGTTTTGTTTTTTTTTGGAGACAGAGTCTCACTCTGTTGTCCAGGCCGGAGTGCAGTGGTGTGGTCTTAGATCACTGCAACCTCTGCCTCCTGGGTTCAAGCGATTCTTGTGCCTCACCCTCCTAAGTAGCTGAGACTACAGGCATGTGCTACCATGCCCAGCTAATTTTTGTATTTTTAGAGATGAGGTTTCACCTTATTGGCCAGGCTGGTCTCACACTCCTGACTTCAAGTGATCTTCCCACTTCAGCCTCCCAAAGTGCTGGGATTACAGGCGTGAGCCACCATGTCCTGCAGAGGAACTCCATTTTGAGCAGTGAACTACTATTCAAGAAGACATGGCTTGGAAGCTCAACTAATGGATTGTAGTTTTGCATGTATATGGAAGCCCTGATAGAATCTGTTAAAAAAAAAAAAAAAAAAAAAAAGATGATGGCATTTCACCCAGATTTAGTAATTATTTCTGGGAGCATGCTTCATAATTAGAATTGTTAGATGTTGTAAATGAATCTTATGAGGATTACTTTAAAAAGTGGTATTGTAAATGCTTCTCAAATTACCTTTTGTTAAGGATCAGTTTTTAAAAAAAATTTCCTGTTTGCTGCCAATGGATACTTTTGTAAAATACAATAAAAGTGAATTATTAGAAAATGAAATAAAAGACCTACAAAGTAGAAATCAAATTTCAGCAGACCAAATTATTCCGCCCCATTGCTATGGAAGTTTCCAAAGCATTCTCTTAATTTTTGCAACAGATAGTTTATAGCGTGACAGTGGCCACAGACCAAAACTTTGTGTGACAGTGGGGTTATGCCCTAGAAGTTACATATATACCTGTATGGGATGGTTGAAAAATGATCTTTCTTAGTGTTATGAACATTGTGGTGCCGGGAGCTGTGCTTCATATCAGAAGTCAGCTCACTAAGGCCCTCAGGCCAAATCTGGTTAACCACCCTGCTTTGAAAATAAAGCAGGAACGCAACCTGTACCCACTCATTTATGTTTTGTCTACAGCAGAGTTGAGTAGTTGATGGCAGAGACTTATGTCATCTGCAATGCCTAAACTATTTACTGAGGTCCTTTACAGAAATGTTTGCAAACTCCTGCTTTAGATTTGAAAATGACACTTATGAATGATTGCTACTTATATATTGCTTTTTTTCTGACTGTATTATCTTTGTTCAAATGTATTAGACGTATTGTTTGACTTTTTTCCTCTAGTCACTGATGAACCTCAAGTAAATTTGAAGAGAAGTCAAGAAAATGAATGGATCAAGAGTGATCAAGTAAAGAAGAGGAAAAAAAAGCAAAAAGATTATCAACCCAACTATTTCCTATCCATTCCAATCACCAACAAAGAGGTGCTATTTTTAAAAAAAATTATTTTTACTGTGAAATTTTATTCTAAATTTAAAGTATACTAAATGCTTATGAACCCACTTGCTCTCAGCTTCTAAGAGTCTTTGGTAGCATTTTGGCAGGACTGTACAGGCAATATTTCTATTTAAGTAATAGAAATGTATTTAAACAACAAGTTTGGAAAATATTATTTATTTTTCTGAGACAGAGTCTTGCTCTGGCACCCAGGCTGGAGTGCAGTGGCACAGTCATAGCTCCCTGCAGCCTTGAACTCCTGGACTCAAGCAATCTTTCCACCTCAACCTCCAAAAATATTTAGACAATCATATTTAAACAGTAATTTTGCAAAACCCACTGGAAAAAGTGTTGCCAGATGGCGTGTCAAGGTCATTTGCAAGTGTTTGTTCATTTTATCTGAGGGACCCTTTGGAAGTAGGGAGCAGTGACCAGTTGAGAAAAAAGGAATCTGAGATCTCTGTTGGAAAGTAAACTGGGGTTTCTTGCTGCTTAATCTTGTTTATGATAGTGATTATTTCAACATAGTTTCTTTAAAAAATTACTCAGTGTTGTAACAACTTAATATTGCACCATTAAAGTTGGTAGAAATCTATTAAAATCTGAAAAATTAATATAATAAATAATAGGAAATGGAACCAGCCCGTTAGCTCCTACTGAGAAACCCCTGAGAGAGAAAACTACTGCATCTCATTACAGCTACTGAAGCAGTGAGGTAAGAATTACAATGCCGCAGGAAAGAACACCTCACTTAGAAGACTGACTGTTTGTACCCCTTGGCCCAACTTAAGAGCCAGATTTGAATTTCTGTTTGTGGGTTATAATCTCTTTGACCAGGCACATTTTCAGGTTGCCTTTCCCCTTGTTTGACTAGAATGTCTCTAGGGAATGCTAGCAAATTGTTAAAAATCAAATCAAAATTAAAATGAAAGAAATATCAAAAGAAAAAATAAATTATGTTGTATCATTCTAGGAAATATCTAGTCTGTGAGACACAGTTTAGCCGGGGAGAAAATATACATAACAAGAGAAGAGTTACCTAGCCATAGAAGATTTTAGATTTGATGTAGTGAAGAATCATATTCTGATTTTACTGACACATATGTGATTCCTTTCGTTGAGGAATACTTCTTAAAAGTCCTAATGAGGGCCAGGTGTGGTGGCTCATGCCTGTAATCCCAGCACTTTGGGAAGCTGAGGTGGGTGGATCTCTCGAGCCCAGGAGTTTGAGACCAGCCTGGTTAACATGACAAAACCCCGTCTTTGTTAAAAATACAAAAATTAGCCAGGCATTGTGGCTTGCACCTGTGGTCCTAGCTACTTGGGAGGCTGAGGTGGGAGGATTGCTTGAGTCCAGGAGGCAGAGGTTGCAGTGAGCCAAGACTGCGCCACTGCACTCCAGCCTGGGTGACAGAGCTAGACTGTATCTCAAAAAAAAAAAAAAAAAAAAAAAAAAAAAAAAAAAATTAAAAGTCCTAGTGAAATAGTCCTTAAAAGTGTTTAGGCAATACAAAGTTAGTGTAATCAGCAATTATGCATTATATTAAAATACTTGCAAGTTGTTTGGTTTGAAAGTTAGGATTACGTATACCTATGGGGATTAGAAGAGCTCAGGGAGTGAGAGGTGCTGCTACTTTCATGAGCAGCCAGACAGAAGCCAGGTCCTAAGGACACTGAATGTCAGACAGTTGAAGTGACTTCCCTATGGACACGTGATTTGTGATTGGAAGAGAATCCTGGTTCTGTATTTTGATTTGACAGAGTCTCTCAGTCTAGATGTTCGACGAACACCTCTGGGTGTCACTTTCCCTAGGCCGCTCATTTTCTGCTTCTCCCTTCACCTGTATTCCTTGCTCCTAGGGGAGACTGAGCAGCATCTCTGCATCACCCCCATGTCTGCCCTCTCTCGCCTCCTAGCTGTGTTATGGCTTCTTACCGCTTCCGGAGAAGACTGCTGGGATGATGTGCTGATGGGATAGGGAACGTGGGGAAGGGGATTGAAAGGAAGGAGGAGAGAAAAATTCTTTCCTTCCACCACTAACTTCTAGGCTTTGCATCACAAAAGTGAAGGGAGAAAAGGGATGAGAGTCCTGTCCGCAGCTTTGAGTTTTCATCCTTTAACCTGCTCTAGCCTTTGTTTCTGCCTCTCTACCCCTGTAAGGTTGTGTAGATGCTGGAAAGAGTGCAGGCTTTGGGTCTGACAGACTTATTAGTACCAACTGAGTCACAGACTCCGCTGTGTGTGTAGGTCAGGTTACCAACATTTTTCAAGTTTCAGTTTGTTCAGGTGTAAAATGAGGTGGGTGATAATACCTCCTTCAGATGACTTTTCTAAACCCAAATCTAGCCATGTCACCAGCCTGCTTATATACTTCAGGATTTTCCCATCGATAGGATAAAGACAACCTCTTTTCCATGTTCTCTGAGGTTTTGTCTGTTCTGTCCTCTCCCCTTCAGCCCTTGCTTTTTCTGCCCGAGCTCTTCTAGCCTTCCTTGGGCTTGCCAGGTTCCCTCGGCCCCAGGGAAAGCCTTCTCTGGCTGGAGTTTTCTCCTTGCTCCTCTTGGTTTTGTTAATGCCAGAATCTCAGCTCAAACCTCTCCACCCATGACCACCTCGTCTAGGTCAACTATCCCTTTCCTTGCCCCATTCCTGTCAGCTAAAGGCTTTCACAGCTTTCTGTGTGTCATTTGTCATCCTTGCAACTTGACACTTGTCTTCCTCGCAAGGTTTTTAGTGCATGCCCATACCTAGACTGGTGTTTGTTCAAGAGTAGGTGCACACACATACACGCACTCTCTCGCTCTCGCTCTTTCTCTCTCTGCTGTTGTTTCATTGCAAATGCGTATTTCTGTCATTCCAAGTTATAACCAGAACACTTAAATATAATAAATGCAATGTAATGGTGGTTTCATAATACAGGTTCAACAGCAGTTTACTGGTTTTGGAGGAGGTAGGGTAACTTATAATAGAGGGAAATGCAGGTTTCAAGTGACCTTGAAACCAAATAATTTAATGTTTCCCTTTCAAGAGACTTATTTGTAGTTAACCACTTAGAAAGCTTACATACAAATATGGGGAAGAGATGTAGGAATCAGGCAAGATTAGGAGTTATATTTTATATCTTCTGCATGAGCACATTTTTGTTTGTTTAAAGTGTCTAATGTTAATTTTCTTTTTAAATTACTTATGAGCTTTTAAAGTGGGAAGGCTTGGGAAAAAAGTAGCATTTATAACATTGTTTCAATGGAAGACTGTATTCCAAGTTCCAATTAAGTGACCTGCAAACAAGCTTTTGGAAGCTAGCGTATTCACAATGAGTTGCTCTACTTTTGGCCTCTACATGTTGGCATCTAGTTTTAAAGAAAAAAGTATTCAAAATTCCACTGGTCTTTGATTTAAAACACATTCTTAGAAGTTTGGACTTCTTTATTAGTGGAAAATCTTGATTTCATATTTTAAGCAAATAGAATTGGAAAATGGATTAGGATGGCTACATAAAAAATCCTAATTGGAAGTATATGAAAGTATGTGTTTCCATTAACTTTCAATTGCATGTTAGTTTAAAAAGAAAAGAAGAAAACATTCCGATGGGGGTATAGTAAATCCTAAATGTCTCTTAAATGACTAGAATTGTTTAATTAATTCTAGCTAGATTTACCCATATATTGGTTTTATATGCCTTCTTTTGAGAGGTAGTAAGAATCAACATTGAAAAAATCAAGGAACAGTCAGAAGCTGATTGAAATTAGGAGTGTATTAATTTTTTGACATGTTTTAAAAATATACTAATGAAAGAAAAAGGTTTTCTTCAGCAGCTTGCTTTCTTTCTTTCTTTCTTTCTTTCTTTCTTTCTTTCTTTCTTTCTTTCTTTCTTTC